GGTCATTATAATTACATAACACAACACATTATTTAACTTGTAACAGTAAAAACTCTAAACTTTCTCCCCTTCCTAGAATAAGACTAAGCAATTATTTTGTGGATTTGTTATTTAAATTTATTCGACTTTGATTTTTGTTCTGGGTCCTATGGTTCAACATTGTTTAATATGCGGCTTTTTCAAAGTAAGAATGGTAAAATTTCCGATTGCATTAACTGCGATTCTTTTTATAAATCAAGTTTTTGGCACCATTACAAATGCCTTTTGTATGTTTAAATGTTCGTTATAGTTTTATTTTAGTAAGTCTTCTTTTTTGTGTGTACTTTATGGGCCATGTACCTGAAATAAAGAAATAATAATAATGATAATAGGAATGGTGGAAGAAACAAAACCTCTCTCAAACAAACAATGAAAGCATGACATTTACAAATATTTAATCATTTAAATCCGAAGATGACGCTTTCATTGGCTGTAGAACCATTTGGTAAAGCCAATTACCCACAAGTCTTTGCAAGGTTTCTTCAATTATTGACCGATTTACGGCCATGAACTCAAAAGATAGTTCCCATTAAATTAAAATTTAAAATACTTGAAATAAGTACGAGTACGAGTCGTACCATTATCTTTTGGCACAGAACATTGAATTGCGAAAGCAAGCAGGTATCAAAAGAGGTTAACTGACTGCAGTAGATTTCTATATCGATGTTATTCATGGTCAAGTTGTTTTTAAATCGCCATTTGTAATGAATACACTTTTATAAATATTTTATATAAAACAAATTCACACCTTTATGAAACATGGTGTACCAACATAGCCCATTTATTTTGGTTTGGTATGATTTATTTGCAAAATTCACTTTGTTTTATCTTGAGTGCAGGTTTTTAGCACACACAACCAAATTCAGTGAAGAAAAATACTGGTCAAGTACTTGTCAGTTTTTTTAGGCAGGAAGAATGAGTTTCACTTCGTAATGAAAATATTTACACAGATTGACTATCTAGTATCATGTAGAAGATTCTGGTTCTCTAGAATTTATTGTTTTACAAATACATAATAAAGTACCAGAAAAACTGTGTACAAATTCTATTCAAGCATACATGATGTAACTGCTGTACAGTAATCACATTTTGGACCAAAGTACTGCTATCTTGGTCACGTCCTAACCATTTTGTCTTAGATTCAGAAACATGCAGACTTTCCGACAGGCTACATTTGTTTTTTGCATTGGATGGCACTTGTATCACCAGACACTGATTCAATCTCATGTTTCTGCTGCAAACTGCACTTTATCACTCAGACTTGCAAAATTTAAATTACTATAGCGAATAGTTCTGGTTTAATGTATTCTTCACTTGTCTTGCATGTAAAATAACTGTCTTGATTTTCTTACTATGTACTCAATGCTGCAAAAATCAAGTCTTCTCTATACAAAGGTGGATAAAAGATGGCGGTCTTAATTTTACCAAAAGCGTAAACATTCATGGCAAAAAAAATAAGACATGCAAACGTCATAAGTTGTCAACATTTTACTTTATTGCTGTTTAGCTGAATACAAGATGTGACCACATTATCAACACCAACAGTCTTGGAACATTCACTTAGTAATGACTGCACAGGTGGACTAATAGAAACTCAGACAAGAAGTAGAAAATTGGAAGAAAACACAAGGTCTTCACAGCCAAAGAAAACAAATATTCCAGATGGAAAAAAAACAAAATATTTTGCATGGTTATATGTTATCCCATGTATGTAAATGTGTTGAGATGGGCGTAGTGCGAGTGGTTAGTGCTAGTAGCACTAATCCGAAAAAGTACTAGATCTAGTGGTAAAAATGCCACTAGATCTAGTGCTAATATGGCACTAGATCTAGTGCTAAAA